TATCATGGTTTAGTATCTTAATTTCGATCAATTATAGATAAAACGTATCAAATTTTATTATATCAAATAAATATTATTAGATTAATTACAAAATGTATTTTCATAATAAATTATTTTGGGTACGTAAATATGAATAGTATTCACTAGAAATTTGGTCAAATATGAACTACTTTTGATGGCAGGCAACCCGTAGTTGCATTCTTTTCTGGACAGAGGGAGTAATTAAGACTGCAGTCTATATGGCCTAAAATGCTTATTTTAAAGAAGTATGAAAGGAGAGTTAACAAAAGTACAAGCATAAGAATTTCAACCTAAGTTGAGGATAAATAAATATGTATCAATTAATAATATTAAAAATTAAAAAATTAAAATCAGATTTCTTAGGTCATAAGATATGTTCTGCAACAAATAGCCATCATATTTTAAGCTATGTTTTCAATTAAAAGCATACTGAAGATACACGAAGGTACCATACAAAGAAAACTATGGATATAGATGAAAAAAATGAAATAGTAATGGGTATGTTTACCAAAACTAGATACACACTACACGGTATCTATTATGCCTTCTCGACATGTTAGAAATAGAGTAAACACAGTGAAAAAAACATGCAATCTAATATCGACAATGATTAGAATAGGGTGTCCGTCCGCCCTGTCCGCTCAGGCACACCCCCACTCCTATCTGCTCGTTCAGAAGGCCTTATCCACCGCTGTATCAAACCTCTGCGTCCGACACTCCACCGCCCACCCCCCACCCCCCCCCACTGCTCACCTTCTCCAGCGGAGGGTCACTCGCCGCAGGTAGCGCATGCGCTCTCCGCGTGCAGTGTTGCCGCCTCCACCGCAGGGGCGCCTCGCCGCGGTCCCCACAGGCAACTCATGTGCTCGCTGCGGGCAGCGTTGGCGCCTCCACCGCAAAGGCCCCTCGCTGGAGCCGTGTAGCCACTCACCAAGGCCACGCAGCTGCCTGTCGGCTGGCATTCCCCTCGCCACTCCGCAACATCAAGCTCCACGCCAGCATTGAGCTTCGTGTCGATGAGCCTCCATTTTGTCAAAGCAGCAAGTAGATGTTGCGCTTGAAAGCGCATGTTTTGTTTGTTTCATAGGTATGTTGCAAGTGTTTTATACGGTTGTTGCAAAAGTAGATGTAGATGTTGCATATGTTGCAATGGTTATACACATATGTTGCAAGCTTCTGTTTCTAATGTTTTATCTGTTTTTTCAGACGTATATTGCAAGCGTATGTATTTGGATGTTGCATATGTTTCGCACACATATGTTTGCCAGTGTTTTTATCTAGATGTTGCATATGTTTACAGTGGTTTCAAGTGTTTTTAGGTGTGTTTTCAAAGTGTTTCAGATGTATGTTTCAAGTGTTTCATTTGTCTTTCAGACGTATGTTGCAAGTGTTGCATTTGGATGTTTTAAAAGTTGATTGGGTGTTGCATCTTTCTCCTCACCTTATGTTGCCTCATCTCGGTGTGTCCTCCTGGCGCCGTCTGGGCATCTATACGACGCCGCAGCCGGGTCCTTCCGAACCAGAGGCGCTGCACCCTCCCCAGCCCTCTTCTCGCTTGGGCGACGCGGCCCCGCGTGGAGTGCGCTAAATGGAGTACAGGCGCGGGCGTCCGTCCAGACATCCGGACGCTAGCACTGCTGATCTAATATAAGTATTCTTTATTATTTTTAAGAAAAGGTTTGATTATTTCTTAAAAACGCACAATTCAACATATTTTGGCACAACGTATTCGAGGCAGTTAAACCGGAATTAAAGATTATTTCTCTTAATATAGTCCCTGCAGAGAGCAGGGTTGATAGACTAGTCAAAAATATTGTGAAGGCAGACATCACGGCATGGAATACGCCAATCACATTTCTTGTGAGCAGCATCGTCAGCCGACAACTGACTGTAACCGACATCAAACTCATTGAATTCTTATCCTTCATGACGAGAGCAGATCCTGAGAGACGATGGAGCGCGCTTGAGCTGCCGGTGCAGAGCCATGAGCAGATGATGGCCGGTGCGCTGCCTGCAGGCTGCACCAGAGATCATCGGTGCTGCTAGCACTGCAGCCATATGAGCTGCATGCATGCCTGCATGTGAGCAGATCACTGCAGGGCATGGACAGGACAGGTATTCAATAAGATATAGTTGCGTCATGTTTGGTTAGTGGTTGATGCTTTAAAAGCAATGTGATTGGCCTAGGTATTATGCCATGCCGTGCTGTCTGCGTTTCTGTAGCATATACCGCGCTCAACGTACGGCTATTTAAGGACGACCAAATCCAGGGCCTCATCGTCATCGTAGACTATACTGTCACCACCTGTGCAACATCGACAACGTCTTTGGCAACCATCGTCGTCGTCTCGTTGTGACGGCAGTCACGCAGCCATGCAATCGACCTTTGCACGCGACAGCAACCGCCTCGACACCGCGGCTGCAACCTGCACCTGCTCTACAGTCGACGTTCATCCTGGCAATCCCAGGTAGCCAAAATTTAGTTTCTAATCTTTCGTACATCTCTTGATCTGAAGTTTTATTGTTACATACAGTCGCAAATAGTGTATTTTGATTAAACTCAATGGACGTATCAAGCCATCGGAGATAAGATCACTATGTAACCTTTTATCAGGAAAAGAAGTTTTCTCTGTTTGTCATAAGATAACCTGCCCCACCGGTACTGGCACTGCATCATTTCAAAAATCACACAAAACATCACTATTGAGATTGTTTCGGTTCATGCATTTTACGACAAAATTACAACTACTAGAGAGCGAGCGAGCGATACATCAATCGGGTACTATCAAGAGACATACAACCAATTACCAACCAAACATACAAAAAGAAACACATATTCTAGTGTACATCAATGGGGTCCGAATATATTGTCATCTCCAAGGACATATATGAAGACAATAATGAATCTTTATCCAACACTACCGGAATCGCAAGCTTTGCCGAGTGCCAATAACTTTGCCGAGTTTTTTTTTTATCTCAGGCACTCGGTAAAGGCTGTCTTTGCCGAGTGCCCAAACTCGAACACTCGACAACGACACGACCCTCGGCAAAGCTGGTCTTTGCCGAGTGCTCAGTTTCAGCACTCGGCAAAGACATCCTCTTTGCCAAGTGCTCAGACATACCACTCGGCAAAGACTTTCTTTGCCAAAGACTTTCTTTGCCGAGTGTCAACGTCTCACACTCGGCAAATTTTGTCCCGCCGTTAAACTAGCCTACCACCGTCAGCTCTTTGCCGAGTGTACAAATGCAACACTCGGCAAAGAGTGTCTTTGCCGAGTGTCAAAAGCAGACACTCGACAAAGTATAATTTTTTTTTGACTCCTGCACTTCAAAATTTTTCACCTCTCCACATACCACATTTGGTACTCCATGCTTAAGTTTGGTGTATTTTTGAATTTATTTGCTATATTTAACTAATTAATTGCATTTCAAACAATTTTTTGAATTAAGTTAAATTTGAACCTCAAGTGATTCAAATATTTAGAAAAAATGAGTATAAAATTGATATTCATGTTATTCAACCCAGTTTGAGGCCTTACGTATAAGATTATAAGGGTTTTCGAACATCTTATTTCGGAAACACGACCCTGAGCGTGTGATTGAATGGTTTTTAAATTCTATAAAAAGCAAAGGAAGTCCGAAAATCATGAAATTTGATAAGATGTCATGATATCATATGTGAAGGCTGTGGTAAAAAATTGAGAAGGTGTCGCATAAGTTGTCACGTACATTGCTTACAAACCGAAACATCTCCGAAGAAGTTTCATGATTGTTGAGAATGATCTGGTAAGATTTGGAGTGAAAGTGACGGTCGAGTTGTGGTTTGACTCCGAAACCTTTTGTATAGCCAATAGACATCAAAGATCGTGTCATGTTAAATTTTAGCGATTTTTTGGATCCATTTGATAATTATTAATTTGTAATTGCAATTATATAAATGGAATTTGAGCTATAACTACATGAAATCATGGTCTATTTTTCATTTGAAGCATCAAATTTGCATTGTTGAGTGAATTTGACAAGGTATTTTCAAAGTGTATTGGAACAAATTTGGAAAAAAGCAGTTAAGGAAAAGGAAAGGAAATAGAAAAGTTTTTTTAAAATACCTTTGCCGAGTGTCGTTCGCTTTTCGACTGGCAAGTAAAAGTATAGTCTTCTACCGAGTGCCTTATCGGCTTGACTCTCGGCAAAGATTTTTAATGTTTTTAAAAAAAATCCGCTTTTGCGAGTGCCGGATCGCGGACACTCGGCAAAGGCCTGACCAGACTTAATCGCCACGGCCGAGACTCACTCGCGCGCGCACGCTCACTTTGCCCTGCCAGAGTGCAGGCGCCGCCCCTCGCTCCCTCACGCGTCCTCTGCAACCTCCCCCTCCCTCGCTCCCTCACCGCCCCCAGCGCCGCCCCCGCCCTGCCCGTCATCCTCGCGCCGCACAAGCGCTTCTCTCCTTGCTGCCCGCTCGTGCCGCCCGCCGTGCTCGCGCCCGCCATTCGCTTCGCCCGCCGACCCACGCCCCAAACCGCCTCCTCCGCCGCCGCTGCCTGAAGCCGCCCGTCACCGCCCGCCCGCAACGCGCGTGCCTGCGCGCCGCCCAGCAGCGCGCCCGCCCGCCACGCCAGGCCGATCCCGCCCGGCAGCCCGCCGCTGACTTCGTCTGCGCCAGCCGCCGATCTCCTCCATCCGCTTCGCCCGGCGCCGCAACCCGGAGAGGAGACTAAGCTCGGTCGAGCACCACCTGGGGCCCAGCGTCCTCGCGACCATCTCCGGCACGGCGTCCGGCCTCTGCAGCCCCGGTAATTCAGTTGTGCTAAAACTTGTCTATACAGTTGCGTGCAGACCATGCATTATTCCTTCCTGAAATTAATTTGTGCTAAAACTTGTCTATTACATTTTCTTGCCTGTAAACTATGCTGTTGCAGTGGATTTGTTAAATTAAGAATTTCTCCTTAGCGTTTATGCTTCTTAATGGTACAAACCGTCTAAAATATTTGAAAGGCACCTAATGGGTTCGCTGATTCAGTGGACAGCAGTTGCCCGAACCCCCCCCCCAGCCCCTGTCGAAAAATAAAGATTTCCACGTCAGCCTCCAGCAAAATGAAGTGGTTCCTTCTATAATTACGTCGGCCATTTCAATGAAACAGTTCAACTAAGAAGAAACGAAGTGACAGAACTAACCGGTGGCAACTCTGAGCTCTTGTATCCGATGCGCTTTACTGTTTGTTGCAATCCTTCCTGGGAAAAAGAAAATAAGAGAGAAGAGAATCAGACGAAAATGGCCTTTGCATACCAGCAATGCTATTGAGGCAAATAATGACCACCACTTGGAAGTTAGAATGCATTGCTCATGATCCAGGGATCCTATCACTCAAAAATATCAACAACAAATTTCTTCTCCTTGCTTTCTTTCTGACAGTTTGACATTTGGGTTTGTCATGGAGACAAAACAAGGGGGCTTCGGTATGAAAAAAAGGAGCTAGATATATTGAAATCATGTTTTAGTTCAATTGGGATTAGGTAGTGCAATGCACTGTAAACGAAATTAATATACATGAAATTCTTCTTATTCTTATTCTATCTCAATTTGTTTTACTATGTGCACTTCCATGCACAGTAAAAATTTACCAGCACAATGAGCTTTTTATATTGGCCATAATAGTCGTTTACCAAGAAACAAGAAATGAATAGTGTACCATACTTACTATCAAAGTATATACCTATAAGATTTATACAATAATAATGTAGGAAACATGACGTGAAGACTAAAAAATGCTGGCACCAAAAATGGGCACACTCACCAGCTGTTCCGGTAGCTTGTCAACCCTTTTTTCTATGAATTGGCAGAGATAATCCACCGCCACACATGAATAATTCTATTGATAAGATATTGTTAGTCATCATGGAAGAAGACAGTAGTTTACTGCACTTAGTTTGTATCATGCATTGAGGAGGAAAGACAATGGAATCCTCTACTTCCACTACTGTATGAGAAATTGAATCTGATCCAAAACACAAAAGCTTGACACTAAAATTGCTGAGTGTTCAACTCGAGAAATTCAATATTATGCCAATACTGCTCCGATAAGGATAAAGTTTACCTGTTTTGCTTCAATTGAATCCATCTTCTCATCCTGCACAACAGATAAATTTATGCTAAGACAACTGGAAAAACTATAAAACCAGTATGAAGCAAATGCAAGTTCAATATAAGCTCACCAGGCCTATAACCATATTTTTTATGTTATCCATGTCTGATCCAATGTTCTTGATTTTCAACTTTGCACCAGTAACCTGAATGAAGAAAAGCGGATATATGAGATTATACACAATACACTAAAGACTCCATCGTCTAGCTCATTGGCATTAGCAGCTGAGTTTGTATAATCAACGAATTATGCAAAAATAACATATTAACATTTCAGTTCACTGTAAGGTTTTGACAGTGTAGGTCACTGTAAATAACTCATGGAAACTAGCTTCATAGTTGTACATACGTTTCCAAATCTGTTCTTTCTGTTTGAATGAACATAAAACATCCGGGGTTCTCTTTCAAGCAAAAGATATTGAATTTCAAAGTACCTGATCTCTTATTTGCACCGAAATCTCCTTCTGCTGTTCCAATTTATCATCCACGTGCTGAATGCGCTGTGATAAGTGCTTTTTAGCAGCCTGCACAAGTTGTGGCATTTAATACACTTAGATCATTTGAAAATCCCACAAGCTACTTAAGAAAATTGGTATGCATTCAAACAGGGCAGCATTTTGAAATCCGTGTTGGAGACCCGTTTGAATCCTATGCTTCAACCATAGGGTTGATGAAAATATCTAATCATACAGCTATTTTTGAATAAAAAGTGAGATTAAGGCTTGTTTATAAATGAGGACTACAAATCTCCAAAGTTAGTTCAAAAGAATATTACAATTTTTATTTGTTGAGATAATACTTCAGTTAAATTGTCATTCAGCATCCACCTAATTTACTAGACATAGTTGTGCGGTTCAACACCTAAGTTTATTAGACATAGTTAGGCCTCCATCTGCGGTCCTTGAGTTGCTCTGTTGTTCGTTGTTCATGATTTTTTTCAGTGGCACGTGGTCTATTTCAGAATTTAATTTTTAATTTTTGCTTTGGGTGTTTTGTAATTAAACCTTGTTCTTCCTTAATACAATGAGCCACAACTGTCCTACGCATTCAAGAAAAAAAATAGTAACCTAAATATGAGCATGAAGAGTATCATTATCTATTTCAGAGAGGAATATGTTATCATCCATTTGACAGTAATAGTGAGTACAAGTTGTGGTACTGCTGTCTAGAATATAATACAAATAATGTTCATTCATTCTGAATAGTAAAGGAAAATGAGATATTGACTTCGCTAGGGAAGGGATGCTGGTAGTACTTACAGCAAGAGAGCTCTGCACTTGTTCCAGATGCTTAGTCATGCTTGCAACAGCATTAGCCATATTGCGTTTAGTGACATACATCAAGCTAGAGAAGGAAATTCCCTGAAAGGCAACGGAGAGATTACAGTTAATCAAACAAGCCCTTTTCAATGCTTGTAGACAATCAGAACAGGATAAGCTCAAGTAAATAGCAAATGGCCTAACACAATTTTTACATACCTTGAGAGACGCCCGGTGGTTCGACCCGGTGGTTCAAAGTAAGTAACTTTACATGCTGTCACTATTTTCTCATTTGTTATGTTGAAACTAATAATTTTTCTTGATCACTTGGGCAGGGGTTTCGTGATTGTGGGTGCAGGTGGTCACGGACGCCATCCCAATGGCGTTCTTGGTGTTTTGTGCAAGACACACTTCCCTGGCTTTGTTGACTTTGCCGGAGTGCGGCAGCCGGCCTGGACGTTTGCCCACTACGCCGTCTGCGCAGATGCATATGATCGGGATGGCAGGATCTACGGCCACAAGGCAGAGCGGGTGATTACGGAGCTGTGGGTAAGTCTTCGTCTCACTACACTGCTCAATTCATCGCATTCATTGGACATTCTTCAAATAATGATAGGATACATTGCGTCTACATACAGGATTTCTTCAGATGCGAGCCGGGATGGGAGGTGGCAGCGAGGGCGGCGGCTAACAAAGCTTGTCACAAACTCGTGGGTGACATGCACTACGAGGCGCGCCTCCAGGCCGTCGTGACATACAACGCGACCTTCGAGTTTAGGAAGATCACGAAAAAAGAGGCAAAAAAGGAGACGCTGACCAAGGAACAATACATGAAGATAAATATATAAGATTAATACTGATTTTTTTCTAAGATTAAATAAGCTTAATTTGATCTACATATACTTGATGTCATGTAGGTGGTTCCGTGGTGGTGCACTGGGCACGAAGACTGCTGGGAGGCAATGGTGGACAAGTGGTGCAGCCCCGAGTGGTGGGAGACGCACAACGCTTGCCGGGAGCGGCGTTTGATGATGCCGGGTGCACCACACCATCAAGGCAACCTTTGCCTCCCGGCCTACACAGCTAAATGGGTACGCTGAATCCATTTCTTTATTCTAAAGCTGAACTATGCAAATTTCTAATCATCCTGCTGTTTCTTTTGCAGTCGGCGTCACATGGTGGCGCGCCCGTCTCCCAGTTCGAGGCGTGGGTAATGGCCCACAAGGGCAAGGCGACGTCCGACGTCCACTACAACCCAGAGGACCCGCCCGAGGCGTACAACAACTCGTCCATCCACACCCACCTCACTGAGTACACAGCGATGGCAAGGGAGGTCCATGGGCCAGAGTACGATCCCACCTCCGAGGACCTTGATGGAGAAGTCGTCATGAGGTTGGGAGGAGGGAAGAAGCACGGGCGGTACTGGATTGGCGACGACGCAATCGACCCGGCCCATACTAGGTCTCTCTCCCAGATTCGAGCAAGGAGCACTAGCTCGAGCCCGGCCATACGCACACGGCCGGACTGTACACAACACACAGTGTAGGCACTCAAGGTTATTTCTGTTTTATTCGTCGTTCATTGATTTTTACATACCTTTGCTTTGCGTTGTATCATTAGGGTGAAATATTGTAGGCCGAGGTGGCGGAAGAGAGGAGGCGATGGGAGGAGGCTAAGGCGAGGGCTGAGGAGGATCGACGGAGGATGGAGCAGATGTTTCAGTATATTCAAGGTTTTGGAGCTCACTCAGGCTATGTTCCGCCACCGATGATATTCACTCCACCAAATAATCCTGCTGTCACTCCTGTGAGTTTCTCTACCTTAAATCTAAATGTAAATGTGGATATAGATATATGAATGTGAATCCAAATGATATGTTGAGACAAATGCACCATGATATGTGAATGTGGCTTTTGCAAGGGTAGTTGTCTTTCCTTTCACAAAGCAGAAATGCTCTGAGAAAGTGTGCATCGGCACTCTACTATCCCAAAGGTCCAACAGTTTTAGGATGTCTCTGCCAGTTTTTATTCGCTGTCCGTATTCAAATAAACATGTCACATTTTTGTCTTTTTTAAATTTTAGCCCACGTTGGAGCATATGGGGTCAGCGACTAACATACATAGAGGGTTTGGTGCTGCCATGAAACGCATCTTTTTCTGGACTTTGACTGAACTTAAATAGAAGATCCGAGACTCAAGAGTCAAGCAAACTAATTAACACCACCACTTAAATAGAAGATCCGAGACTCGTGGCCATTGCCGGTGGCCGCAACCCACCGGTCTCCCCTCTCCACCTCCCACCTCATCCTCTCCCACAGCACCATGTCAAGCCCCACACCTCCAACAGTGGTTCTCGCCGCCGTCGCTGGTCGGAACCACATCGCCCCATCATCCGCCTGGGGCGCGCTTGCTTGTACCGGGCTGGTGCCGCCCAGCATCGCCATTTGTTTACTCCAAATCCACTCAGTAGCTAGCAGCATCCAACGCTGTAGTAGTAGTAGTAGTAGTAGTACTGTGTTTGTGTGTGTCTGAAGTCTGTTTGGACTCTGAACATTGACCTGTGGCTGTGCTGCGTACTTGGTGTCGATCGGTGCCGGAACAGTGGGCAGCAAGCAAGTGCTGTACTCTACGACGTGCGCTTGCTTGCTTTTGTCTGTCCTCCTGCACCAGCAGCAGCAGTCCAGCAGTATATCATCAGCATGGCATCCATCTCCCGTTGGTGTCAGTCAGTGAGATACGCGTGCATGCATCCATCATCCATGATCCATGCATCATGCGCCGCTCCGCTCAGCGCAGCGGCTCTGCTCTTGCTCTGTGTCCATCTCCCATCCACCATCTCCGTCGCCTGCCGGCTACTCCTGTCCTGAACAAATGCTATAGTATATAGGACAGGAGTAAACAAATGCTGCTAGCTACTGTGGATTAGAGCGTACTCGCTTGCTCGGTAGCCTCGTCGAGCACGACGTACGCGGAACCCTGAGCCCGGTCCTTCAGGCTGCGGCTCTGCCGTGGACTTGGGGTCGGCCAGGTACCTTGACAGAGGCCTTGTTACGTACATTTCTTCTCCTCTAGCTGCTCTTGATCTGGTTGGCTTTGTCGTCTCAGAGATGGGATGTCCTTGGAGTCTTGGTAGGCCATATATAGTGGGCTGCAAGTAGGATGAGCAAATGCCAACCACTAATATGTTGCTTTTTTTTTCAAGTTTTTAGAACCTACCTTAAATCTTGTCTCACACATGCAATCACTTCTCTTTTGTGCAGGGGCAATCGGCGGCGTCGAATGATGTTCATGGCACACCTCCAGCTCAGGGCACACCTCCGTCGCAGTGGGACCGGTGGAGTGGCCGTCAACAATAGAGGTAGATTGGTTTGTGCTTGTGATGCTTATTTGTGAATGGTGGCACTTGTGGCGGCACTTGGATGATATTTGTGGACTATGTGATACTTGTGGACAACTTATGATGATATTTGTGGACTATGTGATACTTGTGGACAACTTGTGATGATATTTGTCATGGTTATGGATTATATGTGATGGCTGTGTGATATATGTGATTGTTGTGTGATATGTGATGGTTGTGTGATATATGTATATGTGGATGCAATAAACAAAAAAATGCAAAAAAACGAAAATTTCCCAGCTATACTGAGTGCAATCACCAAGACACTCGGCAAAGCTGGGAGGCTTTGCCGAGTGCTATGGCCATCGCACTCGGCAAAGGCAGGGAGGCTTTGCCGTGTGTCACCAGTAAGGCACTCGGCAAAGCCTCCCTGCCTTTGCCGAGTGCCACATGTAAGACACTCGGCAAAGCCTCCCTGCCTTTGTCGAGTGCGACACTCGGCAAAGAGGGCAGGCTTTGCCGAGTGTCCCCCGTGAGGCGCTCGGCAAAGCGACCGTCACCGTCAAGTGGCGCCGTCAGGCAACTTTTCTTTGCCGAGTGGTTTACTGTCACTTGGCAAAGCCTTTGCCGAGTGCCCGACAAAAGACACTCTGCAAAGAGGCCTTTGCCGTCACCGGCTTTGCCGAGTGATCTTTGCCGAGTGTTACACTCGGCAAAGGCTTTGCCGAGTGTATATGGGGATTTGCCGAGTGTCACAGGCACTCGGAAAAGAGCCTGAGTCCGGTAGTGCAAGAGGTCGAGGTATGGTGATGTGAAGACAGATCGGTGCGGGCCACACAAACTATGCACACCTCTCTGTGTTTTGGAGTGGGTTTCTAATATTTTCTTGACAAGCGTGTATGTGTATCTATCTCTTGTCCTCCTTCGACAAATCTAAAGGCAAAACTTCTCCCCCCTAAAGTTTGTTCAATTTTTGGGATTTTGGAGCTCAAAACCCAAAAAATTGGAAGAGGAGCCACGAGGAAGAAGAAGGGGGCGGCTGGGCGCTATTTATAGGCAGACGAATAACGAAGGCAGGTAAATTAAGAATGACCGCGTCCGTTAATAATCTATTAACGGAGACGGTTGATATAAGGCGCCCACCTCGGTTAATGGCTTAATGGAGCCGGTTGCCTTAAGTTGACCGCCTCGGTTAATACCTATTAACCGAAGTGGTTGCGTTACGTGGCCCACCTCCGTTAATGAGTTAACAGAGGCGGTTGATGTAAGGCAACCACCTCAGTTAATGGGTGATTAACCAAGGGGTTAAATATTAACTGAGGCAGTCGCTTGGCAGGTGAGCGGGGCTGGGAATAACGGCGGTGGCAAATATGGATGCCTGCCTCCATTAAGAAAAGGGCAACGCCACCTAAAAAATCATGTAGTTGTGAAAAAAACTACTCCCTCTGTTCTAAACTATAAGACGTTTCTTGTTTTTTTTATAGATACATAGTTTTTTCTATATGTAGATATATAGCAAAAGCAATGTATCTAAAAAAACAGAAGCATCTTATAATTTAGAACGGAGGGGGTAGAAACGAATGACGGCGTGACCTTTTGGGTTCTGATCAAGCATTCGAAGCTTTAACAAACAAGATCCTTGTTTTCAAAAAAATAAAAGTTGTATTTACAGACCTCACTTGAAAATGGTGATCAAAGGCAAAAGCTTATGATACTTTTGGATTTGTGCAGTGAATTGCGGCGGCAAAAGCTTACTGGCGGCCGTGCGTGTGTGCTTGGCGTCGGTACAGCCAACCCAGCTAACTGCGTTCAGCAAGATGAGTACACCGACTGGTACTTCCATATCACCAAGAGTGATCATCTCACAGACATGAAATCCATCATGAAAGAGAATATGTACGTGATTAAATTTCCATTCTGATGTTACCCCTTTGTACTATTATTACCATAATATATGCTATGACTGCACCAAGAACCTAGTTGAGTATCATCTCAAAAAAAAAGGAACCTAGTTGAGTAATGCAACACCTAAAAAATGTTTTAAATCGGATACGGATTCGGATACCACTATTTACCATATTTTAATTCGAATTTGAATACGAATACGGATATTGCCGGATACTAATGCAAAATGGATATCTCGAATTCGGATTCAAATTCAGATGATTTTGAAGATAGCATGTATCTATTTGCTTATTCGATAGTTTCATAGTATAATAAAATCATTATGAATGAAGGAATTTAAAATATAGCTATATAACGCCGTGCATAAAGACAACTACCAAAAATAAAATATTTTAATCAATATTTCAATAATTAAATATATAAAATAAGGAAATTATACATAATATATATTAATTACTGAATTTAAATAAATAAAATAAATTATAGAACTACAAATAAAATAAAATACTAATTAATATGATTAGCCATGTTAAAATTAATTAAAATTAAGATTTATATATCGTTAACAATCTTAAATTACATTATACATAGATAACTCTTAAATAATGATATATATCATCTGTTATGTTAAAATTATTTTTATTTAAATAGTTAATTAGCCATAATTATAATATTTGGATGGTTTCAAAATAATTTGTACTTAGAAGCAATATATATCCAATAGATTTAATTGTCCAAGATGACTAGAGTTTAACGAATTGATGACCAACTATTTCTAAATTGTGTTAGGAATTCTGTGGTAAGTATGTTCTCCGACCCAAATGCGTTTGCTAAAGGTTAACATGGTGCTTCCCATTAGTAGTAGTAAAGGTAATGTGGAAACATGGTTCCCAGGATACTGATAATTGTAAGAAAATGGGCATCTCTGAAACTTGGTTTGAGAAACCAACGTGTTGGGTCGTTTTTTTTCTCCGCTCATGTGAAAAGATCACTCTTGATCAGCACCTGATGTGTCTTGTTTACATATCCCAGGTGAGATGACGGAGGTAAACAGCGCTACGTGCAAATGAACGAGGACCTCCTTCGCGAGCACCCGGAGTTGTTGGACCCTGCAGCCGCAACACTTCCCACCATGCTTGCCGTGGTGGCTACTATCATGCCAGAGCTTGTAGCGGCCGCCACAGCGAAGGCCATCGCCGAGTGGGGCCGCCCAGCCAGAGACATCACTCACCTCGTCTTCAGCACGAGCACCAGTGTCCAGGTGCCCGCGATCGACCTCCGCATCGCCTCCCTCCTGGGGCTAAGCCCCACCGTGCAGCGCACCGTGATGTGCTCCCACGGCTGCACCGGCTATAGATCTAGCGTACCTATTGATATTTGATGAAGTGTAAACCTTAGAATATTAACTAAAACGAGAAATAGAGAGAAAGAGAGAGAGAAAGGTTGCGGAGGTGCAAACCATTGGCCGCCTTCGTAGAAGACGAGCTGGCCATGAGGTTGCTCGTCGGTGGCATGGTGAAGCCCGGCGGTGAAGGCGTTGTCGCGGTGGCGACGGTGCAGAGGCGGCGGTGGCCGGTGGCGGTCTTCCCGTCGCTGGCAGCACCTCCTTTTACATCGGTTAAGGTTTAGGGACTGTAGGTGGAGCGTCTGGCGGCTTAAGTGAACCTCGTGCCTTGTGCCCCGGCCCCCACATCCCTTTTTACGACGCTGTGCGACGGGAGCTCATCAACCATGGAACGGCTGGGCACCCCCGATCAGTGCACGGATCCAAGGGCCCAATTAACCGTTGGACCAATTGGTGGAGATCATCTAACACCGGCAGCTCCAGCGCGCTCCGCGTCGCCAAGGACATCGCCGAGAACAACCGCGGTGCGCGAATCCTCGTCGCCTGCGCGGACATATTGAGCGTCCTCGGCAGCCACGTGCCTCACGACGCCCGCCCTGGTGGAATCATCGCCCACGCTCTCTTCGGCGACGGCGCCGGCGCAGTTGTCGTCGGAGCCGACCCGCAGGAACCCATCGAGCGCCCGGTCTTCGAGATGGTGTCAGCGTCTCAGGCCACGGTGCTCGGCACAGAGCACGTGGTCGCCGTCGAGCTCACCAAGGGCGGCACCGACTACCGCATTGAACCAGCGGAGCTGACGGCGCTGCCGGGGGCTCTCGGGCTAGAGCCCGGGAAGTTGGCGGCCAGCCGGCTGG